CCACTGTGCTAATCACATAGCCTCTGGAAGATTCCAGTGTATACTTAAGAGAGAATAAGAGAAAGGCAAATACTATCTTATACTTATTATGAAAGCAGCTTTGACCTTGTAGTTCCCTAAGTACATTTTGAAAACTGCTGGTCTGTTGTTGTTAAGTGCCGTCGAGTTGGTTCCGACCCATAGTGACCCTGTATAGGGTTTCCAAGGAGCAGCTGGTGAGCTTGAACCACCTTACAGTTCAAAACAACTTTGCAGTGCAGTGCATTAACCCACAGCACCACAACAGGACTCCAGATTGTGATAAATAACTGAAGTGTGAATCCAATGTGTGTTTGAAATTCCTCAAGAAGGAATAAATATGTGATACTGAAATTCATTTCATTGAATACAGAAGTGACAGCTTGAAAGTAAATAACAAGAGATGAGATTTTAATTAAATATCTTTTAAAATTATATCTTTTACGTAAGTATCACTAAATTTGCTGTCTCCTACCCAGTGGCAGCAGCAGTGTTTGTGAGGATGGCATAGGACCATGTAGTATTTTGTTCTACTGTGCATATTGTCACTATGAGTCAGAACCTAGTCGATGACACCTAACAGCAACATTTTGGAAAACCCTGAGAGAAGCCTTTTTTCTGGTCTCTCAAAGATAAATCCTGAGTGTCATAGTCAGCAACCTACTGCTTGTCCTAAAGATTGTTGTTATTTCTCAATGCAGTTGCGTCAGTTCCAACTCCGGGACTCTGTATAGGGTTTCCAACTGCCACCCTTGCCGTTCAAACTGAACTTGTGATGCAGTGCTTACCCTCCATCACCACAACCGAACTCCAGGTCTTAAAACCTGGCATAGTTAAAATGACAGAATGTGTGAGAAACTGACTTCTGTTTAAGTGTTATACAGGTTGTTATACTTAAGGAATATTCCTTACATTATAATTACATTACATTAATGTTAACTTTTTGCAGTTTATCTATAACTATTGACGTTTTTAAATCCTAGTGACTCTATCTCCAGAATTACATACTGTTTAAGAGTCATTTACAAGTTTTTGGTTTCTTCCACATTCCTGTACAGCCCCATCTTTCTCATGTTCCTTGTGGTCTTTGTTCCTTTTGTTTTCATCTTTATTTGTCTAATTTACTGCCTACCCCATATTTCGTACTTCTAAGAAATCTGTACCTAGACCAAGAGGCAGTTGTTCGAACGGAACATGGGAGCACTGAAAGTTTTAAAATTGCGAAAGGTGTGAGACAGGGTTGTATTCTTTCACCATACTTGTTCAACCTGTATGCTGAGCAAATAATACGAGAAGCTGGGTTCTATGAAGAAAAACGTGGCATCAGGATTGGAGGAAGACTCATTAACAACCTGCGATATGCAGATGATACAACCTTGATCGCTGAAAGTGAAGAGGACTTGAAATATTTACTTATGAAGATTAAAGAGCACAGCCTTCGATATGGATTGCATCTCAATGTCAAGAAAACAAAAATCCTCACCACTGGACCAATAAACAACATTCTTATCAATGGAGAAAGGATTGAAGTTGTCAAGGACTTCATTCTTCTTGGATCAACTATCAACACTCGCGGAAGTAGCAGTCAAGAGATCAGACGACGTATTGCACTGGGCAAATCTGCTGCACAGGAACTTTTTAAAGTATTGAAGAGCAGAGATGTCAGCTTGAGGACTAGGGTGCGCCTGACCCAGGCCATTGTGTTTTCAATAGCCTCATATGGATGCGAAAGCTGGACAGTGAATAAAGAGGATCGTAGAAGAATTGATGCCTTTGAGTTGTGGTGTTGGAGGAGAATACTGAGGGTGCCATGGACTGCCAAAAGAACCAATAGATCTGTTTTGGAAGAAGTGCAGCCAGAGTGCTCCTTGGAGGCCAGGATGGCTAAGCTTCGTCTCTCCTACTTTGGACATGTAGTCCGGAGGAAACAATCGTTGGAGAAGGATGTCATGCTGGGTAGGGTGGAGGGTCAGAGAAAAAGAGGAAGACCTCCAACGAGATGGATCGGCCAGGTGGCATTATTGATGGACTCGGGGGTGGCAGCGGTGGTGAGGTTGGCCCAGGATCGAACATTGTTTCGTTCTGCTGTGCATGGAGTCGCTATGAGTCGGTTCCGACTCGATGGCACCTGACAACAACAACAACAACAACCCCATATTTCAAGGGTGAGTTGAAAAGGCTACTTAGAACCTGTGACTCACACTGCTGTGTTCAAGACTCAACTTAAAAGGTGTTGTTCTTAGGGCTCCATATTTATACAATAGCACCCAGAATCCTGCCCATGATCAAAGTGCAATGGTGGTGGTGGTGGTTATGTGCTGTGGAGTCACTTCCAACTCATAATGACCCTGCATAGGGTTTCTGAGACTGTAAATCTTTACAGGAGCAGAAAAGCCTCACTTTTCTCCCATGGAACGGCTGGTAGTTTTGAACTGTTGACCTTAAGGTTAGCAGCCCGACTCGTAACCACCACGCTACCAAAACTCCTTTGATCAAAGTGTAATGGCAGACAAATATTCTAAGGCCATTGGCATATTGTCAGAAAGGACCAGTCGCTGGAGCAGAATATCATGTTTGATAAGGTAGAGGGTCAGAGAAAAAGAGGAAGACCCCCAACGAGATGGATTGGCAAAGTGGCAGCATCAGTGCACTCAAGCATGGCAACAATTGTTAGGTTGGCCCAGAACTGGGCAGTGTTTTGTTCTGTTGTACATAGGGTCATTATGAGTTGGTACCAACTTGATGGCACCGAACAACAACAACAGCAACATTGGCATAGTGGTGCTTTCAATGAAAGATACCTTTTGTCCCAAATACATCGTGTTACAACAATCAGCAGAATAGGAAACACTGCTTTCTGCGTGATGCTAGGTAATTTGGTTCAGTACTCCTGGCAAGGAAATATCAGCAGTATTGCCTTTGCATGCTTCCTGCATATCAGTACATCTACTGAGCATTCCACTTTAAGATGTACCTCAATTAAGTGTACATAAATTTGTCTTGCCCACTAAGTTCCCTTCTTTAATTTAAAATAATTATTGTCTCTCTTCTAAGTTTTGCACATAGACAACAGAATACTTGATCATCCTCTCTTTCATTTGTAAGGACAGAATGTTTCTGTTCAGGATGGTAGGTTCAGAGATAGACATTTCTCTGGGAAACATGATTCTTGAATTCAGGTGCTGTCAGTACTTAACTTTCAAGGGTTCGAAGGAGTGACTCTGTGGAGTCTCTCCTGCTGGGAGTACTGACTGATGAGCTGAGTTACCCTGCAGGGTTGTACAGTCTGAGGGAGGTCTGATTAGCTTCAGATCTGACTCAGCGGACCCTCTGGGCCCTGGCCACAAACCAACCCAACCCAACCCAAATCCTGGCCTCCCAGGTCACATATCAAACCTAGTGCAAGGGAGTGTGTGCTGCTTGTATATGTCATTGTTTGTTGAAATATTCACACTGTGAGTTAATTTTATATTAATGTAACTTATTGTGGTGAAGAGTGAGGCTTTCTGGGTGCCTCCCCACCTCCTTTATAATCTGTATGTACTGTAGGATATAACCTGTAGCACTGTAGGATAAACATTGAACCATGAGATCGGCAGTTCAAACTCATCAGCCACTCCTTGGAAACCCTATACAGGGTTGCTGTGAGTGGGAACTGACTTGAGGGCACTTAACAGCTCCACACTTAACTAGATATTTCTCTCAAATTACCTGTTTTATTTAGTGTTTTATTAAGCTAAAAGTATTCTCCTCCCATCAACTTTTCATACTGCCCTTTCCTGCTTTTTCCTGACTGCATTTCTTTTCTCTCTGACTTTTGTATTTTCTGTTTATTGGCTTAACTTCTGTATTTCTTCTTCCTTATCACATTTTTCTTCCCTTTTATTCTCCTCCTCACCCAACTCCCTGGACAAGGGGTGGGATAACCTTGTTTCTGCCAAAATTTGTAACAGCATTCGTGGGCCATACAAAACTATCAAATTAAAAATTAGCCTGCTATATTTGGTCACACATGTGACTGCTGGAACTTTGGTTGCCTTGCAGGGCCAGACCAAATGATTTCGAGAACCTCATACAGCACACCCCTGCCTTAGGCACTACTTTCTTTTTCCTTCATTTTCTCCTATTTTATTCATTTTTTTCCCCTTTGGATAGATTACAACGTTGTGGTTAAGTGTTGTTGAGTAAGTTCCAATTCATAACAACCCTGTCTAGAGTTTCTGAGGCTGTAAAACTTTGCAGGAGCAGAAAGCCTCATCTTTATTCCTTAGAGCAGTTGGTGGGCTCCAACCACCGCCCTTGTGGTTCTCAGTGCAGTGTTTATCCTACAGAGCCAACATGCTCCCTGATTTACAGCATTGTTGTTGTTGTTAGGTGCCATCGAGTCGGTACCGACCCATAGCAACTTTATGCACAGCAGAATGAAACACTGCCCGATCCTGGGCCAACCTCACTATTGTTGCTACGCTTGAGTCCATCGATGCTGCCACCTGGCCAATCCATCTCATTGGGGGTCTTCTTCTTTTTCTCTGAGCCTCCACCTTCCCAAACATGATACCCTTCTCCAGTGACTGGTCCCTCCTGACAATATGTCCAAAGTATGAGAGATGCATTAGTAGAACCAAAATGGGAGGATTCAGTAGTTACAGTCTAAGTGAGCATCAAAGTCAGCTGGTCCTTGAGATTCTGATTTATAAACAAACCAAAAAAAAAAAAAGGAAACTCTTACCAAATATGAGTACTTGTTTAACAGTGTGATTTACATGAATTGTGTAGAGCTCTGTCTCAGCATACACTAAAATACAAGTATATTTACTTAAATGCACAGTGGGAGCTAAAGTTCTGTTTTAGAAATTAAGAACTTGTGTTTTAGAGATGTAATTTGGCATAGCATTCAAATTATACTTCACTGTAGCATCTCCACACAATTATATTGTACTCAGAGATGAACTGTTTAATGAACTTCTTGTGTTTTTGTGCAGCCGTCTGTGAAAATGGATGTCAGAATGGTGGACGCTGTATTGGACCCAACCGCTGTGCTTGTGTGTATGGATTTACTGGTCCACAGTGTGAAAGAGGTAAGAAAAAAGAAATAATAAATTCAGCTTGGAGATGTCGATTTTGTTGTGAAATACCTTTTGCTATTCATTGAAAATTCTTCTACTGAAAAAATACTTCGCTTTTTATTTGTCTGTAACTGGAAGATAAGAATCAGAGGCATAACCAATAACAAAGAAGTGTCTGCATTTTCCACTAGAATGACCTCTCAGTTCAGGAGGCCAACTTTAGGACTATGACTAGAAAAGTGAATAATTTTGAGTGAGTGAGTAATGATAAATTCTAATAATTCAAACGCGGAGTCACTGTTGAGTATGTCTTTGGTTGAACAATCCATAAATTAAGGTTTAAATTTTCCTAACCAAAAAGGAAATACATTACTTCCCATTACAAAAAGTGCGGAGCCTACTGGGTTTCAGGTAGGATATGCTTAGTTCATTAACTTTTTAATTATCTTTCTCTTGATTCCACCATCCTCTGTGTGTTTGTTTGCCTGAATCTGAAGTTGGTTATTTTTGAAAGATGGCTGCTGATAGTAAGTGAAGCAACATGCCTCCTCATTCACCAAGAGAAACCTCTATTCTACCCATAGACCAATGACAGATTCTAGACATATTCCATATGTTGACTGGCTGAAGCTTGAGAGTCTGAATGAATATATGACCAGGAGGATGATATTAATATGTTTGAGAATCTTCCCTTGGATCAGGAGATAGAAGAAGTTTCTCCACAGTCAATGTTAAAGTAAGAATTCGTTCACAGTACTGATTCTGTAGGACAGGAGGAAAAGGGTGATAAAATGGCTGGTGGATAGGTCTTCCAACATAGTCTTCTTTATCCAGGTGAATGGTGAGTCAGGCCAATGTGAAACCAATTTACCGTAATGTGAACAGCAGTCAAGCTCACTTGCCTATATATGGCTGAAAATTTCCACGTTGATTCTCTATGTGAACTGTTAATAATCTCCTCATACCAAATATGAGGCATGGTATATCAAAGGAGTTCAACTGTATAAATAACTAGAACTGTAGAACAAGCACTGACTGCTTGCTGCAAGGTAGATGGTTCAAATCCACCAGCTTCTCCTTGGAAAACCTATACAGAGTCGCTATGAGTCAGAATTAACCCCACAGCACTTGACAACAGCAACATAAAGAGTCAAAATAAGCTTAAACTAAGAGTAGTATGCTTTTGTAACTAGATAGTAGTGATGGTTGCATAATGCATGTAATTAACACAGGCTTATACATTTAGGAATTATTAAATTGATGAAATGTTTGTTAAACATAATTATGTCACAATAAAATATTTTCCGAAAATAATATAATATAATGATACAAAATTATATACATCCGCAGTGTTTCTTCCCAGGCATCATCATAGCAACTTAAAATGGTATACAACTTTCTTTGTTGGAACCGTTAGACTATATGAAACTATATTAGTGCAATACTGCAGATAAGGAGTGGATATTGCTTATATACAGTGGCCTTGAGTTGCAAAGAACTTTATATTTTAAAAATTATACTCATTATCCTGACAAAACCTTCATCTTGGTACTTGGTGGTGATGATGGTGTGCCGTGGAGTTGGTTCTGATTCATAGCGACCCTGTATGGGGTTTCTGAGACTGTAAATATTTATGGGAGCAGAAAACCTCATCTTAGTCCTCCAGAACTGCTGGTAGTTTTGAACTAGCTGACTTTGAGGTTAGCAGCTTGACTCATAACTGCTATGCTACCACAGCTCCTTGTTACTTGGTACTAAGGTTAAATCTGGAGAAGAAACTGATACATTAGAATTATATGCATTCTGAAGGTTAGATATTAAACAGCCTTTTTAACATACCCTTGTCTGTTAATGTACATCAAGATATTTACATTATTTCAAAGGTAATTGAGATTCCTTGGAAATGAAGCACATTCCACAAGAAACAGAGTTTATAGTTACATTTAGGATGAATTTAAATGTCTTTTCCAGATGCTTTTGTTTTAGGAAGAAAATTAATTATTAAAAAAGATAAGTTGTTGAGAATAGGAAAATACAAAATTTCTAAATGACATTAAGTTTATTTGAACACCATAGAATGTAAAATAGTTCAATTTAAATTTTTAAACATAATCATAATTGGTATAGATGATGTTCATTTTTCTGGAAGTTATGTAAACTTTGCAGCTCTTTGATCCTGAAGCTGACTTCAAGTTCAGTTGCTAATTGGCAGATATAGAGGGTAGTTGCAGCTCCTAGGCTTCCAGGCATTACATTATTCTTCTCCAGCAGCTGTCATCAGACTTGTTAGTCCTTACCAGTCTTGGGAAATCAAATAAAAATTTACATACATTTTGCATGTACAGTAGCATATTTTCAGAAGAAACTATAAAACGATGAATGAATTGCTTTAAACTTATTTTTATTCGTACAGTTCAGTGTAAAATAGTTATTTATCACATTTATAAAGTTTAACTCGTTTATATACCATGGCACATTTGGTATTAAGTATGTTATTAATGGCTCAAATAGAGCTCAGCACTGGGAATTTTCATCATGAAACATGGCTTTGTATGAATTGAGATGCTAACCGCAAGGTCAGCAGTTTTTTTCTACCAGTCACTCCATGGGAGAAAGATGAGGCTTTCTGTTCCCATAAAGGTTTGCAGCCTTGGAAATGCTGTCATTGTTGTTAAGTGCTGTTGAGTCAGTTCAGACTCATAGCGACACTGTACAGAGTTTCTGAGGAGTAGCTGGTAGGTTTGAACTGTTGACCTTGTGGTTTTCAGTCCAGTACTGATCCTAGGTTACCACAGCAGGAGTATCAGAAATGTTATACAGGGTCGTTATGAGTTGGAACAGATTTGACAGCACACAGCCATCACCACTCTTTGGATTAAGGAACCCATTAGTGTAGTGGATTATGAGTTGGGCTGCTAACCACAAGGTCAGCAATTTGAAATTACAAGCTACTCCATGGGAGTAAGATGAGACTTTCTACTCCCATAAAGATTTACAGCCTTGGAAACGCTATACAGGGTTGCTATGAGTCGGAACCAACTTGATGACACACAGCAGCACCCTCTACGTATCCCCACCCCCCCCACACACACATTTTGGAAGTTCTATAACTTAATTTCTTTGAAGGGCAGTGGTGGTCATTTTCATGTTTGCATTGAGGCCATGAACTTTAACCTTTTAAAAGTGATAGTCTCAATTTATTTTTTTTAATCAAAAATACCTAATTTTTTTTTCAAGAAACAATGTGTTAGTTGAGATACAAGAGGAATAATTTATTTATGTTGGGATTATTGAATATGGTAATCTGCCATGGTAAACATGTCAATTTGATGTTGTTTTTTAAAAATCAGAGCATTTCAAAATGTATCTTCTTTGTTTCTTAAGAGAGATGTTTGCAAAATAGAGATATTTTTTTTCTCCTTAATGTAGAACACATAATTTTCTTTTAAATTGGCCTCGTGGGATCAGTCGTGTGATAAACATGACTGCTTTTCCAGCTATCTGGGCTTCTGGCAGACTAGTTTCCGGACTGGAGACAGAGACTGAGTGGTAGCTAATGACTGGCATGATTATAGTGTTTCATTTGAGTCTTGATGCTGGGTAAGCTGAACCTCTTTGGAGTTTTCTTCTCATTCTTGCTGATATGTACAATGACCTTTTATGCATAACATCAAAAAAGGAATTCTTGTGGCCACATGCTGATTATAAAATAGTCAACTGTGCCCAAAGCACAGAAGATACACAATTCTTTTTGCCTCTTTCTCTGAACATAGGACATTTGGGGGGAAAAAAAGTATTGCATTTCATATATATGTGAGAATAAATAGACAATAAATCAGTATTATATATTAAGGCTTTGTTTGCTTTCCTAGCACTAAAAATATACCTCAATATTTATCAATAGAAACTTTGTGAGGGGGGGACAAAAAATGAATTTACCTATAGAATTTCTGGACAAAATACAATGATTACTTCATAATAAATATGGTCTGCCTCAAGTTGTTGTTTCAACTGTGTTGACTTAAATGACTGTTGAACTCTTACTATGTAAATTGATTTTTCTTCTAGCTTGTTTAAATTACTACTATAAATTGTTTCTAACATATAAGCCTTACTTTGTAAAGAAAACTTTCACATACCCTTTTGTAAACTTTCTGTAAACATTCAAATGCCCTTTTGCTAAATAAAGTCCCTGGGAGGTACAAATGATTAGCTGAAAGGTTGGTGGCTCCAGTCACCCAAAAGCTCATTGTAAGGCAAACCTAATAATCTGTTTCCAAATGTCACAGCCTTGGAAACCCAATGGAGCATTCTATTTTGAACACATGGAATCACCAGGATTTGGAAATCAACTCAACTGTAATTAACAACAGTAACTATGCTTAAGTTACTGTTTGTTAACTTAAGATAATATTAATACAGTTGTTGTTGTTGTCAAGTGTCGTCAAGTCGGTTCTGACTCATAGACTCATAACAACCCTTATAGGGTTTCCTAGGAGCAGCTGGTGAGCTTGAACTGCTAACCTTGTAGTTCAAACTGCTTACAGTCCAGCTCATTAAACCACAGTGCGACATCATCTTTCAGTGAGTAGTTCTTTATAAAGAAAACTTGTTGTTGTCGTTGTTAAGTGCTACCGAGTCTATTCCAACTCATAGCGACCCTGTATAGGGTTTCCAAGGAGCAGCTGGTGGATTTGAACCACTGACTTTGTAGTTAGAAGTCCAGTTCTTATCATACATCATCATACCAGAACTCTAAAAGAAGACTTGGAGGATTTTTTAAATTGATGTTGTTAGTTGTTAAAGTACTGTGGAGTCGGTTCCGACTCATAGTGACCCTGCACAGGGTTTCCGAGGCTGTAAATCTTTATGGAAGAAGAAAGCCTCATCTTTCTCTCACAGAACAGCTGGTAGTTTCGAACTGCCAACCTTGAGGTTAGCAGCTCGATTTGTAACCACTATGCTGCCAGAGCTCCTTTTTTAAAATTGTTACTAGTTTTACATTGTTATCT